GGGGGGGGGGGGGGGGTCAAACAAACACCCAACACAGCACTTCCATCAGGTTAAAGGGCGCGGGGGGATACTTTCACGCAAAACAGCGGTGTTTTTGTCTCACTCAAGACAGCAGTCCATTCCGCGCAGGGGAAAGGGATACTTTCACACAAACAGCTGGCGTTTTTCGGTTCTCTCACCCATGACAGCGCCATCAGCTTGTGGAGGGCCACGAGCCTCTCCCTTTCCCTCTCCTTAGCCGCCGCGTCGACGTATACGATTTTCGCCATCCTCTGCAGCAGCCCCGCGTTCTCCTTCTTGAGCTCGAACAGCCGCGTTTCGTGCGTGTCCAGGTACGTCAGCAGCGCGCGCCCCCTCATACGGGCCTCCGTCTCCCCCCCCCCCTCCTCATGCTGCGGTCCTCGTCCCCCCGCCCCGGCCTTGCCGTCACGCCTCATCGCCTCGACGGAAGCGGCAGCCTCCACCAGCCCCCCCCACCCCAGCGTCCCCTGGAGGCCCAGCGGTCGAAGAGCGGCAAGGACGTCCTTGTGACGGAAAACGCCGTCTGGAAACCGCGACTCCGGGAGAAGGGACGGGAGCTCGGGGACCTCGGGGTCGAAGATCTCGTGCGGCCGAACCAGCTTCTTCGACTTTTTTTGTATTTTTGTGTTTACCCGGGACACGGACGTGACGTCAGCGAGAGGGAGGGGGCAAAACGGAGTTGGAATAATATTCAACAATTCCATGTGTGAAGGGTACCCGGGCAAGTCCAAAGGAATCGGATCAGAAAAGCAGGGCATCCATGAGCAAGGGTAGCAAACGCATGTGCTAACCAATTGGATCAGAAAAACACAGCATCCATGAGCGATGGTAGCGACGCATGTGCTAATGAACACGATCAGAAGAGCACAGCCCCCATCAGGTGTGATTACTGCTATGAGAGAAGAGCTGGGGCGGTACGTGGGGTGTCGCGTTGCGGGAACCTGGAAAGCGAACACAGTACCTAATGGGGGAAATGATTTCGTTGCTTGATTCTCCTGCTTGACAAAGAGCTCAGAGCAACGACAGGGGTGGCGACAAAGACATCCTTCACGCGGAACACACGCACAAAGCTCATGCAAGAGAACAAGCCTCCTCAGAGATACATCCATCCGCATCGTAAAGATGAAACCCGGTACGTTACAAAGAAAAAAAAACGCTGTGTTACATCCCTCAAATTGGCACCCCAACAAACAAGGTTATTGTCGTCTACAGTTTGAACAGCCGTTCCCGTCCTCCGTTGGGTGGTACCTTCTAATACCCGTACTGGTCCAACTGGCGCGGACGCCTTCCGTGGTCGTAAATAATTGGTGCGCACTAAAAAAGACGCCGCTCACCGGACCGCCTTCACGGGAAATTCAATATTATAATGAGGAAATAGAATAGGGAGGGGGTGCGCAGACCATATTCCCCATCCCTATCCCTAACCCAACTTCCCCCCCGGATTGTATGCTTCATCCAACATGTTTACTGAAATACGAAACACCCTCTGCCAAGGCTACTGCGCTCACCTTGCTGGTGGTGGGAACAAACTCCAGCTCCGCCAGTGCCGTCCTGAACCGCCCGTGCTGCTGCGACAGCCTCGGAGCCGCCAGCAGCGCCTCCACCATCGCCACGTCCCGGAGGCCGTTGGGCAGCTCCTCCATCCTGGGGAACACGTGCTCGACGAAGAACGCCGCGCGGCCGACGAGCCGCGCGCCCAGCACCTCCAGCAGCTTCGCCTCCGCCCCGCCGCCGCGGACCCTGACGAAGCTCGGGGTGAGGAGGTGGGTCTCAAGCCACTTCTGCGCGGCCTCCGTCGCCGCTGACGTCGGAACGTCGGTGGCGTCCTTTTCCTTGTTCCCCACGCCCACGAAACCGTTGCCGGTCTCGAGCAGCAGGTACAGCGGGGCCGCCTTAGCCGCCGCGTAGGTGCCGCCGTCGCTGGCCTGACCAGAGCCGGGCCGCGGTACCGAACCACTCCCGGTATTCCGGGCCGCTGCCGCGCCGCCGCCGCTAGCGGCGGCGGCGGTGGCAATCTCGGCCCTCGCGATAACGCGGGCGGCCACCAGGCCGTCCTCGTGCAGAGGGAGGATGGGCAGCTCCCTGCAGACGTCCACCTCCACCTTGGACATCTCGCTCGCCGGCTCGCGCGCCAGGAACTCCCGGAGGGCGTCCCGCTCCGCCGCCCCGGCCGCCCGCATGAGGTCCGTCAGAGGCTTCCCCGCGCTCCGCCTGGCGGTGCCCAGGGCCGCCAGGACACCCTCCCGCGTGCCCGGGCGCACGTACTCGAAGAGCTCGACCGGGGGTGGGGGCAACGGCCGTCGCTGAGCAGAAGCAGCAGCAGCAGCGTCGGCGTCCCCCCCCTCTTGTTGCGCCTCCGGTGTTGCGGGTTTGGTCCCACCGGTGGTCGCCGCCTTGGATTCTCTCGCCGCCGCCGCTGCCGCCGCGTCGCCGACGCCGCGGGCGAACACCCCCGGGAGCAGCGTCCGGCAGCCGGCCCCGACCAGGATGTTGCGCACGTCCTTGCCGAGTCTGTCGCCGTCGATGACCGCAGACCGCAGGCTGAGGGGGCACACCACCGAGTTGCCCGTGGGCACCACCGGGTACGACTCCGCCAGCAGCCGCACCGCCGTCGGCCGCGACGACGCGAGGTACCCCCAGAGCCGCCGGAACCAGTCCACGTCCGGGTGGCCGGACTTACCGGGGGTCCACGGGAACGCGGTGCTGCTGCCGCCGCCCCCCGCGGCGCCGGCGCCGCGCCACTCCGGGGGTAAAGTCTGCCCAATGAGGTCGGGCAGGAGGTCATCACGCATGGTGGTGACGTGGAGGGCGGACTGCAGCGCTGGGGAGCGCAGCGCTCGCAGCACCCTCCCGTCGTCCTCACCGGCCGTCCTCACCCGCCCCGCCGCCGCCCCCGCCGTCCCGCCCTTGCTCTGCCCGCCGCCGCCGGCAGAGGACAGGGAGGCCTCGCTGATGAGTTTTGCTCCTGCGCCGGCGAGGAGGCGGGATTCCTCCTCCGCGCAGAGAACGAACGGCTGCTCCGGGACGTCTCCTCCTCCGCCGGTGTCGTCCCCGCCTCCGCCCCCGCCCGAGAGCCACTCCACCGCAGCCTGCACTTCCTTGTGCTTCACCAGCGCCTGCCTCGCCCTCGCCTCGCTGAAACCCATGCCCCGAATCAGCTCCAGCTTCTGGGCGTCCACCGCCGCGAAGCTCCGGAACACGCCGTGGGACCCGTCCGCCAGAGGGACCAGCGGCAACCCGGCCAGCTCGCCGTATCCGGACGGGCGGCCCTTGTTGCGGCTGCCGACCCCGGCCTTGCCCCCGGCCCTTCGGGGGCCGCTCTCCGGACCGTTGCTGCCGCGCCCGGGACCCAAGTCTTCCAGGCAGTAGCGAAGGATCAGGATGCAGGTGCTCCGAGCGCTCGGGTTTCCGCTGCGCAGGGAGGCGGTACCGTTGGCTCCGACGGCGCCGGAACCGACCCCTCGCGCCGCCAGCCGCCCCGGGGCCGGGGAGGCGAGCTTCTTGAAGAGCTGCCGGACGAAGGCGGGGGTGGTGCTGAAGGTGGCGCAGCCGCTCGACAGGAGCAGCGACCGCAGCTCCTTGCTTCCCTCTACCAGGGGGACCTTTGTCAGGGGGGGGGGGGGGGGGGGGGGGGGGGGGGG